AACCTTCAAAGTCTTAAAGGGATTCGTTCAAGTGCATAATTTTGAGGTTATTTGATAGAGGCATTCTAGTCCTTTTTCTTATGTCATAAACATTTCATGATAATATGCATAAGTCATTCAAAGTATCATAGAACCATGACATATTCCATGAAAATTTTAGAGGGATGTTGAATCTTGGTTGAGGGTCATTAAGGGTAACTTTGTCCTTTCCCATAAGGCTTGACTTACACTCCTAACATTTTCTAGAAGCTTTGAGATCTTTTATCATCCTTGAAGTCATACCTAAGTCTCTTATAAACTTGAAAAATCCACATTTGAAAACTTCTTAAGGTCTTTATAAGGGCATTTTAATCGTGTACCATATTTTCTTCCAAACCTGTCTTTTTAAATAGGCTTTTCTTCCATTCTTGAGTCATTTGGAGGGCATTTGGCTCTTGAAATATCTAAAAAGATCATTGGGGGCATTTTGGTCATTTTACCCCTAAACTGCTCGAATTTTAGGGTCATTTTAAATAGTTTAGTTCTTTAACATGCTCGAATTGATTTGAAAAGTTAAGGTATTTTTTAAAAGTTATACCAAATTTTAGGGTCATTTGGGTCATGAATGGAAAGTAGTTGACTGTAGGGGATAGTTCTACATCGTAACTTGGTTTACCTACTTATATTTATATCCAATGACTATAAAATTTCATATATAACTTTCATATGTCATATTATATCTAGCATTAAAATTTCATGGGATTTAAAGTTCGTTTAAGAAAATTCTAAGATAATTATTTATTTCTTAGATGGTATTCAAGAATTTGGTTCCTTAAAAGAAGTCTAGTTTCTGTATCAATTGAGAATTTCGTGAGCCCGTCTAAATGAAGTTAAATTTAATAAAAAGTCAAGGATGGATCAAATTTTTGGGCTGACGTGGCCGGTTCAGTTGTACCAGCCTCATTATCATCTTCCCCAAAATAGGGGAAGACGTGTGTTGCCCATTGCGAGCTTAATTTGAAACTGGCCTTCCCTAGCTCGCTTCAATGACTTTTTGGCTTTGATATCTTCATGAATCTTACAACTGGTGTTGTAAGTAAGAGCTAGGGATTGATTTCATACCTTTTGGTGAACTGTAGCTTAAGCTATGACTCTGGAAATCTCACCGGAAAGCTTGTTCCTCGCTCGAGTTCAAACTCGAAAATTCTTTACTGGGTAGTCGATTCTAGAACTTTTCGGGTCTCAATTTCTTCATGAAAATTCTTACACTCCTCCCTTAATCTAAAGGAGTTAATTTGGAACGACGAGTTTGTGTATGCGTGGCTAATTTTTTAGTCTAACTCCCTCGAGTTCAAGGTTATCTAAGATGCAAATTTTGATTCTCCTCGGTAGCTCAATTTTGGCCTTATTGGGCTTCATATCATTTCATGGAAAATGCTTATTTTAGTCCCGAAAAGCTTAAGAAATGCTTAATTTAGAATGAGACCGACTAGAAGTAAGGATTTTGATTTTACCCCTAAAACTTACCCAAATACAACTTTTCCAATTGGCCAAGTTTTGGTGCTCAACATCCTTCGAGGTCATCTACAAAACTAATCATCGAGAGTGTAGATATTGAATGAAATAGGCTTCATACGAAGAATTTATGTGTAGCCTCAGATTGAATCTCCAATCTTTTCTCTAGCTTTTCAATGGTGAATTGGATTGGGTGTAAAGCTAAATATTCACCAATCTTGTGGGCAACCTTATTTAGAAGGTGTAGAAATAAGTTTGAAGAAAAATGGTGGGATGTAGTTCTCAAATTTAGAAGAAATATGAGAAAGGAATATTTAGCTTGACAAGAGAAAGGAAGAAAAATGGTGACCCCCGGACGTCGCTACAGATTAGCTTGACTAGAAGGTCCAGGGGATGTGCGAGCACCCTGGAGATTCACACTCGCACGTGTGAGTCTCGTGTAGGGAAGTACTACACATCCAATTTGTCCGAGACTGGAGGCCACCCTTAACATGATTAGAGATAGGTCCCTAATTCATGATTGCATGTGTTTGCATTAGCATGACCACTATAGTGGGGTCAATTACTCCGTATTTCTTTGAAATACTTAGGCCGTGTGCCATATTGTTTGTCAAGTAAAGGCAAGACGCCTTGACGACGGCATCGTGATCAGAGACTGTGCCGCGTGCATAGGATAGTTGCATATTTAAAATTCCTAGCCTTGGTTAGAATAGGGAGTTTGCATTTTATTTATTTAAATTATTTAATTTGTAATTGTTTTATTTTATTTTGAACTCCAACATGACTTTGAAATACTTAAGTCCGACAATGTTTTCTAATGTTTTAATGTATTCTGAAGTTTTAAATTTTTCCGCTAATTAAGATGAGCATTCTTAAAGTTATATTCTGCATCAAAGATGAGCATAAGACGTTAGTAACGACTTTATATATGTGAAAATTTAGGGTTGTTAGAACTATAGTTCTCGAATTTACAAGAATGAAAAGCTTGTAATTGAAGTTTGAGGATACATAGATGCTTGATTCTTGTTCAAATTGAAAGCCCCTGCTTCAAACTATATGGAGTAAGCTTAAACGGAAATTGAAACCTCCAAAATCATCATAAATTTGAGATTAAATTTTCTAGATTTTTTCTTGACCCGATCACATTTATCGACCGTTGAATTTGACAAACACATCAAAATTTGGTGAAGATCAAGCAATTGGATGGAAAGATCTTGTCAATTTTATGCCGGCGGCTTCAATAGCGTATGATTTTTTATTCAATTTTTTATAATTATCTTGAACTTTAGGCGTATTTTTTTGTTATTTGCCCTTTTGAATATTTTATTATTATTTTTTAGAAAAATCAAAACTTTTTCTAAAAATCTATAAAATTCCTTAAAAATATAGAAAAATGATTTTTTTTTTTTTTTTCCTTTCCATGAATCCTTATAATTTTTTATTAGGGTATTGAAATCACTTACTTAAGCTCCTTCTTCTTGCTTAAAGGGAAAGAAGTTGTAGAATGTTTGGCGGCTAAACTTGGAGATAAGGATGAATAAAGAAGTGGGGAGCAAGGCATATGAAAATTAATGCCCACGTTTTCCCCTCTCTCCTGTGGGGACCGCGATTATTTTCACGACTTTCACGGCCACGACCTCCATCTTGAAAATTTTGAGGGTTTAGAGTACTTTTTCATCTTTGATTGACGTCTTGGTTTGGAGTGCTTGATCGGGTGTTTTCTCCTCCTCCTTCTTACATTGCTCGTGTGCCTCGAGAGAAACCAGCGAGCTCGTCCACTGTGAACCTCGGTAGGTCCTTTGACTCTTCTATCGCACATACAACATTCTCAAAGTTGTTGGTTAATGATCTCAAAATCTTCTTTCAAATCCTCGGACAACCCCTTGAATCCTGTATTTTGACTGTGAACGTCGCCATACAACTCCAAAAATCACGAACACATTTATTTATTTTTTTTTAGAAAATTAATAAAACGCTTTGCATTTTTAAATTGGGTTGGAAATGGAATTATATTAATTATAATTTAAATTTTAAGCCTAAAAATAAAATAATAAAAATAAAGTAATTTAATAAAAACCACCATAAATGAAAAAAACAAGGGGTGGAATTAAAAATAAAGAAATGGGGTGGTGGGTGGAATGACAAAATAAAAACAATCATAAATTAAAGAAAAAAATAAGTATTGAACAACCAAAAGCAATTGACCAAATCCAACCCATTTTCATCCTTCCTCCAAATAACAAATGTCGAAAATGCCCCCATAGTTTTCTCGCAGTATGATTCACCGTAAACCTAATGTTATACCCTCCACGGCATTAAATTTTGTCTTAATTTTCTATTTTCATTATGATTTAATTATATTCAAAAATAAATTTATTCCATTTGTATTTTTGTGCCTATTTAATTTTTAAAATTTTAACTTATTCATATATGAATAAGAAATTGAATATAGAGTTACATTCTAAAGTTGAGTTGGTGCATTTTTTTAGACTCGATCTAATTGTTTGGGATAAGATAAGAAATCACTCCAACAACGGAAGTAAGATTCGGATTACCTGGTTGATCGAATATCTTAAGGCAAGAACATTGTTAGAGATTCGAATCACTCCACAAACAAGATCGATCATGTCTAGCTTGAATGATTCTTGTTGATCAAACATCTCAACGCAAAAACACTTGTTTGAAATTTGAATTACTCTACGATCCTGTCGAGCTTCAATGCTTGTACATGCAAGCTAAACTATATAGAATTGCAAAGAAACTTAGCCATTAGCTAAAGGAAAAGTCTACTTACAAATACAATATACATGGCTTTATATAGTCTCAAAATGAAACTAGTAAAGAGCACAAGAGTTGTAACATTCATACTTAATGACCATAATTAACCATGGTGTAATTTGTAATTCATTAATGAAATACAATTCTAAATTGTAATCCATTCAAAATTTATAACATGAAAGTCTTTTTTCAGTGTGGCATGAATTGAAATATCTTTTAATAATTTCAACAATATTTTCTTCGCATGCATTTTAGTTGAAGTATATTGTAGGATTGATGTCTCTCGTTCATATCGGATTGTAATTTTTTTTTAAATAATGAACCTAATTCAGCTCAACTATAAATTGCTTTGGTTACTGTTTTTAGAGCAATCTGTTAACTAATCCCGTCTATATATAACTTTTCATTTATTCAAACCCAATATATAGTTTAAATTGAATTATGGAATTTTCTCTAAAATTTGTGATTTAATACTAAAATTAGAATTCTACTAAATTTGTGATTTAATATTAAATTAAGTAAATAAAATTTGTTTATTATTATTTTTATTTATAAAAAAAATTCCCAACTAAAAATAGCCCTGGATTCAAAAGCAATGGAAGATAACGGGAATTTTCGAGAAAGAGCCGCGTGGACCCCACATCAGGAATATAAGTTAGACAAACGTGTTTTCAAGATGCGTGTTCAACACGCATCCCTTCATTCCTTCGCTATATAAACTGCATTGATCTCCCCAAATTTCTTCATATCTACAAAATTCTCTCTCAATTCTTCTGGGTTTCGAAGATGATTGAGGTGGTTCTCAACGATCGTCTAGGGAAGAAGGTCCGGGTGAAGTGCAACGAGGACGACACGATCGGCGACTTGAAGAAGCTCGTTGCCGCTCAGACCGGAACCAGGGCCGAGAAGATCAGGATCCAGAAGTGGTACAATATCTACAAGGATCACATCACCCTCAAGGATTACGAGATCCATGATGGCATGGGTCTCGAGCTCTATTACAACTGATTCCACGTCGTTGTGAGTTTTTACGCTTTTCTGATTCTTGATGTGTTTGATGGTTTGGTGTTTCCTTTATGATTCGTCTATTGTTATTTTGTTGGATGCGATTTCTAGAACGCTTTGTTTAGTTTTTGTTGGATTTTAGGATTCATTGACGTGATTAAGAGGATGCGTATGTTCTTAGAGGTCGTAAGGAATTCAGGTCTACCTCTAAAACGAGCGATCGGATATGAGTTCGATGGGATGTGGTGTAGGGTTGACATCGCAGTAATATGACGGAGGTCTTAAAACGCCATGAGAAGCCCTTGTTTCCTAAGGATCCTGCTCTCATTCTTTTATTTCTGGTCCATTGGAATATAGAATCAGTTACTAGTTTGAAAATCATAGTATTTCCTCTGATATATGGATGTTTTCTATCTCCGAGGTTTGGAATCCTTTGGAAGACGAGTATTGGGGGGCACTCAGTGCGAGTTTTATATTACTGAACAGGCCTCGACATGTAAATCTTTGTTCTGCTTAGCGAACGCTACACTCAATGTTTTGATGTCTATAACCTGTTATGGAATTAGCTACCCTGTGGATGACGACGTCTCCTAAAGTATCGGTTGTTTCTTTCTAAAGGGAGTTGTTTATTTTCAGAAACCTACTTTAATCTTAACCGATATTTGATTTGCTGTTCTTGATTCATTGTTAATTGACTTCCTTATTGTAGGATGCTTCTTCCTTTTTCCCATCTTCTCCAACTCTTTAAGTGAGTCAGGAGCTTTTATTTTAAAGTTGATGCTTAGTTGTGTAGACATGCTGCCTTGCCCTATTGTTCCTTTGCTTAGTGGGTGCCAGGATTATGCATAATTTTCCATTCCAAGCACAGATGGTACAGTGTTCCCTTCGTCAAAATTTCAGACGAGGAAGGGGATGAGAAGTGTATGTACTCCGTGCCCCAAAACTGTGGTCGTACTTGAATTTGATCGAAAATTGTTCTAATTGTTTATCGAAGTTTAGATCAAAATTATTATCATTGTTTAAATTCATATAACAGGAGACCTGTTTTTATGCTAGGTGTGGCCTTTTCTTTCAAAACTTTAGAACTGCAGTTTTTTTCACCCTTAACGTTATTTTGTTCCCTGATCTCTTATTCATTTTTATTTTCTTCTGGCCTTAGCATCCACTACTGTAGACATCTTTCATTTGTGGGTCATCTGATGCGAGTTGAAGAACAATCTTTTAGTCTCGTGGTTTATCAGTATAGTTGATGGTGCATTGCATGTTATTGAACTGATGGAATTTGAGGAGTGATGTAGAGCTTTTTGCCTGTCAAATCTTATCCCAAGCTTGTTGAACTCACCAGCATGGGTTTGTTGATTTCAAAAGTGAAGAATTCATGGGGTTTTAGATGTCTTGTGGCATTGCACTTAGAGCATGCCATTGCTTGCACAATAAGATGGATTCAGTATCTATCTGCCTCAGCTACTGATCAATCCCAAATTTGTTTCTGGAACAACCATTTTCAAGACTGTTCAGTTTCTAGTTGATCAATTGCAGTCTTAGAAAGTGAGCGTTTGGGGAGGATATTAGATGTTTCATTAAATTAAGTGTGCTGTGTGTGTAAATTAAAATCACCTATTGCTGTTATAGATAGATTGGTAGCTAAAAGTTTTAAGTATTTGAATCCTTATCTACATAGGAACTCCGTTCACTCCATTCAATCAAGAAGCAATTGAGTTGAATATATTAGTCGAATGGTATATCTTGACATGTTCCTTTCCATCGGCAGAACATACCACAAGGCTAATAATGTTGACTCCGTCTCTGTTCGTTTAATTTCAAATTTTGGATAATGTCTATATGTCTATTTTTCATTAACTAATATTTTATTTAACGTTTCCAGTTCACATTTCTCTATGCTTCCAATCCATTCCTTTCATTAACTAATATTTTACTACGTTTATGTTAAGATTTCAATGCTTGAAAAAATGATCTCGTTCAATTTCCATTCCAACTGCATCCCATTTTTTAAATGAAAGATTTTAGTACCTGGAAAATTATTGTATTATCATTTCTTCATTCTTTCGCCACCCATTTAAAAAAAAAATGAAATTCATTAATTTCTGTTTCTACGTAAGTTTCTGTTTTAATTTATTAATTTATATTGTCTTAGAAACGAATTTCAAGTCTGATTTTGTTTTTTGTTCGCTCAAAGTTGATTAATCTGGGAATTTTGTGATTTTTGATTGTTTTTAATTTCCATTTGTGAGACGCAACTTTTACCTCATTCGACCCAATGTCTTTGGCTTTTCAAATGTGGAAATTTGTTTGAAATCTTTCTCCCCAAAACTCAATTGTGGAAATTTTGGCAACTCGTACCCCGCAAAGTTCCCTCACCATTGCTTAAAATGAATTTTATAGTTGAAAACTAGGACGTTTTTGATGAATTTGATAAAATGGGCAATGACCTTGACATTCCCGCATTTTTCATGCATTTTTTTGAAATTCCCTTCTAGTCGTTTACTGTTGAATTCAGGTGCTTTAGCTCCTTTAGGCCAGAGTTCTTCCTTCTCCTCTTCTTGCATGTTAGTTCCACCATTTCAACTTGGTACAGTTTTGATGGAGATCCTGAAGCTTTTCAGAAATGAACAATATTTATCTTAATGTTAGTCCTTTTTCCAAGCAGGTTCTGTCGTCTTTTATCTGTAGTTAATTTTAGGCCTGAGCTTTTTGTCTCAACTCTATTCCTTGTAACTACTTGCCACTCTTGGAACTCTTTTTCTCGAGCATTTTTCAGGATTTCCGTCCTCTTTTGAAATGCCTCCTGTAACCCTTCTCGTTTATTGAGCATTTTTTTTAAAATTTTTTTTTTTATTATTGAGATTTACTTGGCCCTTCTCATTATTTCCGTGCAACCAAAACATATTAGGCATCTTTCTCCTGTCACCATAAAAGTCTTTGAGCTTCAACAATTTAGCAGCACCGTGTGATTTTCAAACAAGCTCCATTATATGGGATGGCATTAAACTGTTTTCTCATAATGCATAATCTCATGAACTCATTTTCATAACATAAATGGTTTATCGCATCGAGAAGGGTTTATGTATTAAGTTTTTACTATTTGATGGCCAACTTAACAAGCCTTCAAAGTTCGTTCAAGCAGCACAAATGTATTTATAATCCACGTGTAAATTAATGGGTTTCTTTTCCATCTTTAACTTCAAGCCCATTTTTTAAAGTTCCCATTGAAATCTTCACTAGACAAACTTGCTTCTAAAACTGATGATTTTCAGACATCTGGTGCACTGATATTCTAGACACAATAACATCTTCCTTGTTTTTTTGATTATCTTGAAGATTCGTTTACTAAGCATAATTTTCTATTCTTTCAAAAGTTTAGTCATTTTTCAAGTTCAATTCTTAGAGTCTTAACTTCCATATTTATTGTTCTTTAGTGGATAATCTAGTCATTGAAGTATATATTATGCGTGTTAATTTAGTAGGAAATATAATTTTCTATCGTATATCATGTAGAAGCTCTTATTCCTTTTCATTTGACAACAAGTAATTTAAAATCTTTAATATCTGAACCGGTGCTTATCATTCTTGTGTTATCTTGAACTTGTTTGTTGTGAGGTCCGCGTAGATAGTGTTTGAACTTGCAAGTAGGTTGACTCTGAAAACATTTTTCCCTCCTCTCTATTTCATGTTTGATGATTCCATCGTGTTGATTGTTTGGAGACTGATGAATAATCTAGGGAGAGCTAAGAGCACTAGTAGGAAACCCACTTGTCTGTTCTTCTTCGATCAGAGTACGTAAGTAACGTGTTCCGTTGGTGTTTCCTGTGTCACTTTGGCTTGATAAGTAGTTGAGGAAAATCACTCTTACCCTTTTTATTTGAGGAAATCTAAGAGTAATAAGAAGAGCCTAACATTAGTTCTGTAATTCAGTAGGCTTTGTAACTTCGTAATATATTTTTGGGCAGTTCCATTTTGTTGAAAGTATTTGTGAAGGAATTTTATGAAAGTCTCTCCACTTGGTGTTAACGTTGTCTCTAGAAGGAACTTTAGGAGATTAGAAATGGCCTCTAAAATCATAGCTATTTAAGTAGAACTTCCTAAAGTCCCTGAATCCTAACGTGCTTCTTTTATTAGGATAAATAACAAATGAAGATTGGATACTTTAGAAGCGCTAAGTATGCTTTTAATTATTTAAAATCAATTTTAAGGGATGAAAATCACATTTAAAAATGTAAATAAATCAAGCAATTTTGAAGGATTAAAGAAATGTATTATATAATAGTATATTCTAAGATATATAGAAAAATGTTCCATATCATATCCGACTAAAGCTGGCCCTTTTAAACAACCTTATACTTAAGAGTCTAGTATTTGCCTTTTAAACAACCTTAGGCTTAAAAGTCAAGTATTAGATATAAGATAGAATATGATTGTGCTTCTTATTTTCTTATAATGATGCATTTTAAATCGAAATGTGAAAGCTAATTCTCTATCTCTTAAATGGTGTGTGAAACCCAAGTATTTTTTCTGTGGATTTATGAATTATAAACACGAAGGTCTTGTGTATTTGGCATTAATGGAACTCAACAATGGTATTAAGTTTCTTTAGAGTCATTTTGAACGTAAAAAAAGTGATTTTAGCAATTTCAAAACTACCTCGTAGCTTTCTTTTTGAACTTGTAATCCAAGTTGTAAAATATTTTCTAGGGAAGAGGTTATT